GGATTTTCTGCACAAAATAGTCAAATCATGTCATAATAGAGAAAGAAACTGGCATTAAGGGAATGCAAATGCAGAAATCTGCTAATATTCACTTAAAATGGCTTTCAGGAGCTAAAAGTGCTGCTGAAAATAAAACATTTAAAAAATTTTCTATTTTTTCTTTTTCTTAATTTCAATATCAAAATGCTACATAAGTCTGGGATGTCTTGATAATTTCTTTGATATCTGGAATGTGATTCCACGTACTCAGATGAAACCGATTTTATGTCAAAACGGTTTAATTTGCTCTATACGTGGCGCCATTAATAACAGTCAGAATGTAATTCCAGATATCTGGAAGCGTGTTGAAGCTGATTGTATGTTAAACCGGCCTGCCATACATTCATTTCTTCCATCCAGGCTACCGTCACATCCACCTGCTGTCCAAAGACGGGACGGCCATCCCTCCGTCCTCCGTCTTCGTTAACGTCAGCGTCTCAGAGCTCACATGAAGGTCACGGCGCCTCTGACCTCACAGCTTCACTCCAGTGTTCATGTTTTAGTTGTTTTTAAACTCATAGAAAACTTTCTGATGTTTAATGATTCATCTGGACTCTGAATCACCTGCAGGGCAAAATGAGATGAAGGAAAACTCCAGTGTTACTAATTATTTAAGAACAAACAGAAAAAAAGATGAAAGTGAATCATTCCAGTTAAATTTAGACTTTGACTAGGACATTGTGGCACTTTGGTCCTCATCTTTTTCTGCCATTTTGTTGTAGATTGTTGAAGTGTAAAATGAACAACGCAGGACTCAACTTCTGCATTTTATTCTTTTTCTTTGATCATATTTTGAAGCTTAAAGATCCATGATTATTTGAAACAACAGATTTTATCGTTTATTTCACATGTAAAACAACAGAAAGATACTGTAGCAAGTTTAGTTTTTATAAATTTAAATGAAATATTGTTGCCATGTTGTTAAGGCTGCAATGCATGCTGGGTAGATGATGTATGCTAGGTGCTAAGGCGCTAGCTCTGTCCAGCCAGAATAGTTTTTTGTGACTTTGATAAGTTGAAACATAAAGGACATGAAGATGAGGAGGCAGGAGGAGAAGAGCAGAAAAGCTGCAGTTTGTGTTTCTGCTGCTTGGAATGCTAACCAAAAAGGATAGCGTTAGCTGCTGAGGTTTCTAACTCAGTCTGTTTACGGTTAGCATTAGCATCAGGAAACATTTTCTAAAATATATTAGAATGTTTTTTACGAAGATGCTTCACTGTCACTTTAACCATCCACTCATATTTCAGTTTGTTTTGATTTAGAATCTGCTGATGGTGTTAGCTCTAGCTAATGGTGTTAGCTCTAGCTAATGGTGTTAGCTCTTGCTAATGGTGTTAGCTCTAGCTAAAGTAGTAACCAGTAGATCACCAGGCGGTGGTTTGAGCAGAACCTCATGTTCAGCAGCAGCTTGTCTCAGTTTTTAGACTCCAGGCGACTAAACTGCCTGCGTCACGGCCCAGCATGCATTGCAGGTGGTAATGAAGATGTACAAGTTTTGAATTATGAGTTTTTATTCATGACAGTAAATGACTGTATATTTAGTGTTGGGATGTTTTGGTGTCTGGACATGAAGGCTTGCTGCATGTTGACCCTGATAACAGCAACAGAATGGACCAAATATCAGTATCATAAATATGAAAATAGATCTTATTAAAACAGTGTGAACTCCTGATGTTCTACCTTATGGCTCATTTCCTTGTTCATCAACACAATATCTACAGTTTTTTTCCCAAATGGAACCAAATATTCCATAAATATTCATACATCTCAGAGTATTCACTGGGTTTCAGTGTTTTGTTTCGCAGCCTCTTCGCCCCGGGCTGCGGCGTGTGGCGCCCCCTGCAGGGCCTCCTTCAGGGTGGGGACGCTCCGGGCTGGAGGCCGCTGCGGCGTGTGGCGCGCCCCTGCAGCGCCTCCTTCAGGGTGGGACGCTCCGGGCTGGAGGCCGCTGCGGCGTGTGGCGCCCCCTGCAGCGCCCCCTGCAGGGCCTCCTTCAGGGTGAGGACGCTCCGGTCCGCGTCCCGCAGCACGCCCTGCTCCGCAGCCTCCTCGGGATGGTGCCTCTTCAGGTGTTTGACCACCTGGAAACCGCTGCTTGGCTCTGTAGGTGCAGTGGCGGCAGGAGAACGGCCACCGCTCCGTGTGGGACAGGAAGTGATGTCGGAGACCCGCCGGCCAGCGGAAGGATTTGTGGCACAGTCCGCAGACATAGGCCCGGTCCTCCGTGTGCTTCTTCTGGTGGGTCTTCAGGATGAAGCTGGTTTTAAAGGCTTTGCCACATTTCTCGCAGACGTAAGGTCGAAGGTCACGGTGCTGCGTGTCCCGGTGCACGCGCAGGGCGTCTGCTCGGTTGGTGCGGTACCCACACTCACCACAGGGGTACGGTTTCTCCCCTGGAGGATTAAACAAGACAGCAGGTCAGTCGGGTTGCAGGTTTCTCTGCGGTTCTCTGCGGTTCTTGCCTGTGTGTTGCGTCATGTGATACTTCAGCTGCGTCGCCCATTTGCATTTGTAGCCGCACTCTGGACAAAGATACTTCTTCTCTTCTTGGTGAACTCTATGTGCAGCTTTGGGAGGAATGAGTGAAAAATTCGATGATTCTGATAGTAATTACACTAAAGAGCAACACCAACATGCTAGCTAGTTAGCATGTTGGTGCCCATGTTGTGGTGATGCATTCTGGGTACAGAAAAAAACAAATTTCTGAACCACATCCTGCATGGAGAACATGAGGAAACAGAAGCATAAACAGTCTGCACCTATTTCAAAATAAGAGCGCGAGTATAAATGTCTAACTAAAAGAAGAGCTTTAGAGTATATCTGGAAAAATCAATTTATGAGAAACTCAACGCACTAAATGTTTTCAGTGTTAGTAAAAAAGCTAAAGCGTCCGTCGATAAACACATTGTTGTTTTATCAGATTGAATGCAAATCAATTAGGCCAATTGGGATAAACTTCAACCACTAGATGGCAGCAAACTGCTTCCAACATGATGCTGGTATGTGTAGAATTTGCATCAGTGGGCATTAGTGTAACATAACCAACTGGCAGGATTTGAGGAAACTTCATAATGACAGCCTGTAGAAGAGGAAGCTGCATTAATGGTGATTTGTGGGTGTTGGACAGGCGGGTCTCTACCTTCAGCCTGGACGGGTCTGAGCAGGCGTAGCTGCACTGCTCACAGCGGTACGGTTTTCTCCCCGGTGTGAATGCGAATGTGCCACGTGATCTTTCTGCTTGTTCCGGGTTGCGTACTCGCAGTCTGTGCATTTGTACATGCGCTGCTCCCGTGTGACCGGAGGTGCTGCTCCAACACCAGCTGGTGCCGACAGGCGAAGTCACATGTGCTGCAGTGCAGAGGCTTGACCTCTGATGACCCCGCCTCATGTTGGCTCAGAAGGTGCTGCGCCAGCAGCGGCCTCGTTTTGGCTGCGAAGGGGCAGAGCTGGCACAGGTGTGGCGGTGAGTCCTCTGATGAATGCCGAGGCTTTCTGTAGTCTGAAACTCCTCTGGCAGGTGCTGCATTTCAGCTCAGGGTGTTTGCTCTGCTGGTGCTGCTTCAGGGTCCCTTCGCTGCTGCATGTAAAGTCGCATTTCTTACATGAAAAGCAGGCCTGAAGTTGGTGCGCCCGTCTGCAGTGGTTCCTCAAAGCAACCTCAGAACTAAACCGAGCGCTGCAGCGACTGCAGATGTGCTGCAGCTCCCCTGAGTTGACACCGGCGGCTGTGACGTCTGACGTCATCCAGAGCGAAACCGGCGAAGTCGCACAGCGGGCAGAAGTGTGTGGGCTGTTTGTCGTGGACGCGCAGCTTATGCTGGCGCAGTTTGGACACTGCGCCAAAGGTTTTGTGGCACGCGTCGCAGCTGTGACGGCCGACGCCCGTGTGCAGAGACTCGTGCTCCTCCAAGCGACGGCGCCTGGAGGAGCTGAAGGAACAATGGCTGCAGCGATGCGTCCGAGCTCCTTCCCGCTGGCAGTGCCGCCGATCCTCTGACGGATCCGGAAGCGTTTCCTCCTCATGATGGACAGAATGTGACGGGATAGAGAACGTCTGGTTCTGCTGAATAAGGGCAGCTGGGACTGGACCTCTGATGGCTGCAGACGGCCTCTCTGTTCAGTCACAGCTCTTCTCTGGCTACATCTCAATGCAGAGTTTGGTTGTTTTTCTCCTGAATCATTGGCCTTTTCTGATTGGTCCTCCATACGTTGCAGTGTTCCAGAACCAATGTGACCTGAAGTCTCCCTGCAGGCCTGCAGGTGTTTTCTAAAGGTTGCCAGTTTGGCTGAGGAAAAGCTGCACAGCTCACATTCAAATTTAGCATCTTTTTTAGCATGAAGGGCTTTGCTCTGTGATGATTTGGATGTTTTATTTGACTCTTCCTTCATGTTTGCCATGATTTGACCAGGTTCTGACACGGTGTGGATACGGCCCGGTTCTGGTTTCAGTACTGAGGACGTCTCGTTTGCAGTCTGCTGTGAACTTGCTTCTCTTTGTGATTGCTGGGATTCTGCCCCTGCTGCAGCAGGATTTCCTGGTGGAGTCGTGTGGGGTGGAGCCGTGTCGGGTGGAGCCGTGTGGGATGTGTGGGGTGGAGTTGTGTGGGGTGGAGTCGTGTCGGGTGGAGCCGTGTCGGGTGGAGTCGTGTGGGGTGGATTCGTGTCAGATGGAGTCGTGTCAGATGTGTCTGGTGGAGTCCTGTCGGGTGGAGTCGTGTGGGGTGGAGTCGTGTCGGGTGGAGTCGTGTGGGGTGGAGTCGTGTCGGGTGGAGTCCTGTGGGGTGGAGTCGTGTCGGGTGGAGCCGTGTCGGGTGGAGCAGCAGGATGATGAGTTTTAAGGTGGTGATCAAACCTGCGGCTCTGTTTGAATCGCTGCCCGCAGGACGGGCCCTCATGTCCCTTCGTCCTGCGGCGACGCAGATGTCTGCGGTGCTGCTCCTTGCAGGAACATTTGTCAGAACCGTAAGCAGCTTCAGATGGCAGCGCCAGCATCTGGACCCGTCCCTCCAGAATCATGGCGTCTGCTTGGTCCTTGTCGTGTTTCCTCAGAGCTTTCAGTCGGGCCTCAGAGTGTGACGGGTCGGTTTCCTCGGTGGGAAAAGCAGAACCGATAGTTGAAACTTTATTTGCCCCCTCTGGTGTGGCGGTCCGATCGTCCACAGACTCAACAGATCGACTCGGGTCGGTTGGAGGCTCACCTGCAGGTTCTACGTCACTTTGCTCACCAGGTCCGTCTTGCGATCCTAGATTGTCTTCCTCCAAAGAGCTGGCAGGTGTGGACGGTTCTGGCCCGGTTAAAGGCGGTGTGCCATGGCAGGTTTGGTTCTCGTTTCTTAAAGCCTCGACGGTCGGTACTCTGGTCAACACCAGAGTACAGTACGGCTCCAGACTGCTGCTGGATCTTTCAGAAACGGCTTCATGACCAACTTCTTGGACGAGAACCGAACCGTCGGCTTGAGAAGCGGCAGAACCTTCAGTGCAGGGGTCGGATCCTGACTGGTTCTGCTGTGTAGCAGCAGCTGGTTGTCTGGACTTCCTGTAAAAGTCCTGCAGGAACTCTGCTGAGTTCCTCTGCTTTTCCTTGGCTGCGTAGTTCTGCAGCCAGGCGGCGTCTCCAGGGACGTAGCCGTGGACCTTCCTCTTGTGCTGGAAGAGGCTGATGCTGCTGTAGGACGAGTAGGAGCAGAGCGCGCAGCCAAACTCCTTCAGCTTGGTGTGCTTGCAGTTCTCGTGGTTCTGGAGCGCCTGCCGGTACCAGGTGCTATATGAGCAGTACTTGCACTGGTATGCAGCAGACTTCTTCTCCTCCCCAGAATGCTTGGCCAGCATGTGGTTGCGCAGCTCATACTTGCGCTTGCAGGCGTAAGCGCAGATCTCACACATGAGGGATTTAGCTTGATGCCGTAGTTTGTGACTCTTCAGCTGATCCATCCGATGGCATCGATAGGAGCATTGATCACAGGAATATCTGGCAGAGACAGGCGGGAAAATCACAGCCAATAAAACACCAATAATCTGGATTATCTGACCTTTTACCACAGAAAAACATTGTGCTTCATTTTCCAAGTCATATTTTGAACATTCATTTAAATGCTACAGTTTCAAACTAAATACTTCAATCAGAGTCAAATATTTACAAACTAAATATTTAGCAAGCCCTGTTATTTGCTAATAATTTAGTTAGCAAATATTTTATTTGTAAACTAAACATCACTAACCCATCGTTTAGTCAGCAAGCTAAATATTTACCTTCACAGTAAATACTTGCCTATGGATATTTCTAAGTGGTTAAATGATTTTTGTTTCCACAAACAAAAGGAGCATTTAAAAGCGTTTGGTTTTGTACCTGAGGTCTCCGGCGTGTTTCCTCATGTGGACGGTCAGGTAATGCTTCCACTTGGTGACGTATCCACACTCTGCACACATGAAGTTCTTGTGCTCGGTGTGGACCAGCATGTGTTTGGAGAGGTACGACTCGTCTCTGCACCTGAACTCACACAAGCTGCACTGGTGAGGTTTCTCACCTGGAGAGCAAACGGCAGGTTTCAGCCACAGCGAGAGAAACGCCGTCAATTAACACCAATAATTTGGATCATTTATTGATTTTTCACCATGTTATTCATTCATTTAAATGTCACAATTTCAAGTTTTGTAGATAGTTGGAAAACTAAATATTTATCTTGAAGCAAAAAACATAGTTAGCTTATAGCGATATAAACAGCTTGCTAAGTGTTTAGGCCCAACTAAATATTCAGCTTCAAACTAAATATTCAGCTTCAAACTAAATATTCAGATTCAAACTAAATATTCAGTTTCAAACTAAATATTCATCTTCAAACAAAATATTCAGATTCAAACTAAATATTCAGCTTCAAACTAAATATTCAGATTCAAACTAAATATTCAGCTTCAAACTAAATATTCAGATTCAAACCAAATATTCAGATTCAAACTAAATATTCAGCTTCAAACTAAATATTCAGCTTCAAACTAAATGTTCAGCTTGATCATAAAGTATTTTGGCCAGAGATAAGTATTTAGTTTAGAGATAAATTTCAGTTGCAGAGTAAATATTTAGTTAGCAAGCAAAATTTTTAGCTCAACTTTAATCTGAGGTTTTTAGTTTTTCTTGGTTATTTACCGACATGTGAAGGTGAATGAGTAACTCAGTGAAATGTGACGGCTTTGGTTTTGCTGGATGTTTTTCCAGTTTGGTTCCTCTCACCGCTGTGCGTCATGACGTGCCGCTTCAGGCTGCGTTTGTGCGCCGTGACGTAGCTGCACTGAGAGCAGCGGTGGATCTTCTCGTTGGCGTGCAGACGCGTCACGTGCTGCTCGTACTCCACGGGGTTAAAGGTCACAAAGGGGCAGAAATCGCAGCAGAGCTCCTGCTGGCCGGTGTGTCCGAGCCGCCGGTGCTGCAGCAGCTCGGTCCTGTTGGAGCAGCAGAAGCTGCAGTCTGGGCAGCGGTAGGCCAGGTGGCTCCGGTAGTGATCCTCCATGTCTGCTTCGCATTTGAAGATGGCGCTGCAGGCGTGATGACGACACTGCGCCGCTCTGACCCCGTGCTCCTCAGCGGCGTGTCTGAGCAGGTCTTTGCTGTGGGAGCTCTGGAAGGCGCAGCCGTCCTGGACGCAGGCCGCCGGCGCCGCGTCCCGCCGGATGTTGTGTGTCTTCATGTGAGTCTTCAGGGCCCGGATGTGGAGGAAGCTCTGGCTGCAGGCGGGACAGAGGAAGCTCTGGCTGCCGCCGGCCTCCTCTGGATGCCTGCTGGCCACGTGGCGCCGGACGGCGTTTCTCTCCACGGCTGAATAATCACACAGGGGGCAGCGGTGGGCCTTGACCCCGGCCTCCCGGAGGCGGTGCATGCGCAGCTTGCTCTGGCTGGTGAAGAACCGGCCGCAGGCGGGGCACTGGAGGCCGGGGTCGGGGAAGTGCAGCCGAAGGTGTTCCCGCAGGTGGGAACGCATCTTGAAGCAGCGCCGACATTTGGGACAGGCGTTGGTCCGATAAACAGCCTCCGCTGAGGACAAGAACAAACAAGCATGTGGCGACAGTGGAGAGAAACATGAAGACGCCTCCAGCAGAACCAGTATGAGTGACCCCACCTCCCGGGGTTTACCTGCAGGTGGCGCTGAAGCGTTGGGGTTGTTTTCTGGTTGTTTCCCTGCTGGTGACCGGCTCCGGTTCCGGCTCCGGTTCCCTAAAGACATGTGACAAGAAGAAGAACAACAATCAGCTTCTGTGGTTCTACGTTCGGTTCTGATGTGTCCTCCTGGTGTTTACCTGGACCCGTCCGGACCGGCGGCTTTGGACAGCGGTGGGAGACGGACGTGTCCGAGAAGTTCTGTCCACATTTATCACAAGCATGTTGCTCCGCCTCCATCATGCCTGAAAAACACAGGAAGCTTCAGCAAACCCTGATGTCCTTTCAGCTGAAATGAATTATTTACATTTGGAAAAATCTTTGAACCTTTTTGAAGATGAATCTTTTTAAACCAGCTGATGTTTCATTTGCTTTTATCAAAATGTTTAACCATCATCTGACCGCTTTACCAGAAGAAAACTGAAAATCTGCCTCGGAGCAGCGATTCTCATGACCCAAGAAGGTTTTGATTCAAAAAAATTAAATAATAGACAAAAGTCCTACAACATGATCTGCACAAAAAACCCAGATTCATCTCTTATCCTTCTGTCTGCTTGAAGTTACATTTGAAATAATAAGGAAGAATCTTTTAGGGCTGAGAGATGACCAGTCATCAGTAAAGCAAGGTGGAGGCTGCATCATGCTTTGGCCACATTATCATCCACGGTTTCTGGGAAACAACTGAAAATTTAGCATGAAAGGAATCCCAACCTGTCATAAACTCCCAAAATGTTTCACTGATCATGTAAAGTTTTCTGGTTGCATGTTTGAACAAATTCAAGCTTTTTTTTCTCTCCAGTTTTCCCAGAAATGAGGGTCGAACATAACGAGGTACAAGCTGCTATTGAACAAGGAGCAGATCTGTGTCACAATAACAGAGCAGCTGCAACAACAGGGAATAAACTGTAACAACAGGGAATAAACTAAAAACAGGGAATAAACTGTAACAACAGGGAATAAACTAAAAACAGGGAATAAACTGTAACAACAGGGAATAAACTAAAAAACAGGGAATAAACTGTAACAACAGGGAATAAACTAAAAACAGGGAATAAACTGTAACAACAGGGAATAAACTGTAACAATAGGGAATAAACTGTAACAACAGGGAATAAACTGTAACAACAGGGAATAAACTGTAACAACAGGGAATAAACTGTAACAATAGGGAATAATCTGTAACAATAGGGAATAAACTAAAAACAGGGAATAAACTGTAACAACAGGGAATAAACTGTAACAACAGGGAATAAACTAAAAACAGGGAATAAACTGTAACAACAGGGAATAAACTGTAACAACAGGGAATAAACTAAAAACAGGGAATAAACTGTAACAATAGGGAATAAACTGTAACAACAGGGAATAAACTGTAACAACAGGGAATAAACTGTAACAACAGGGAATAAACTGTAACAACAGGGAATAAACTGTAACAACAGGGAATAAACTGTAACAATAGGGAATAATCTGTAACAATAGGGAATAAACTAAAAACAGGGAATAAACTGTAACAACAGGGAATAAACTGTAACAACAGGGAATAAACTAAAAACAGGGAATAAACTGTAACAACAGGGAATAAACTGTAACAACAGGGAATAAACTGTAACAACAGGGAATAAACTAAAAACAGGGAATAAACTGTAACAATAGGGAATAAACTGTAACAACAGGGAATAAACTGTAACAACAGGGAATAAACTGTAACAACAGGGAATAAACTGTAACAACAGGGAATAAACTGTAACAATAGGGAATAAACTGTAACAACAGGGAATAAACTGTAACAATAGGGAATAAACTGTAACAACAGGGAATAAACTGTAACAACAGGGAATAAACTGTAACAACAGGGAATAATCTGACCTCCTGCCTGAGTCTCGCCTTCACTGTCCGCCTGACAAACAAAAGATCAACGTTCAGGTTTCGGTTCTCATCGCCTCCTCTCGGTTCTGGACTCGGTTCTGTTGTTGTTCTTCGTCTGAATCCCTGACTACACGCAGACTGACCTGCTGCGAGTCTTTATTTACTCATTAATGTTGAGAGAGGGGAACAGACCGACTGTTATCGCTGCATTAGCTTAGCCTACGTTAGCTAACTGCTAATCAGACGGTGCTGAAGTTAGCGTCCGATTTGTAACGTTAAATGTGAAAATATAAATATCACATTTTTTATTTTAAACCTAAAAATTATAATTAATTTGGTGTTCTTAGATTTCACCACAAAACCGGCTGATGTTACATTCTATGTATTTAATTGATTATTACATAAATGCAGATTAATTTGTCTTGCAATCTGAAAATTGTAGGTTCAGTTCTAACTTCCTCCTGACATGAGCCTCTGAGCAAGGCACTAGACTAAACGTGTCCTACAGATAAATATATCAGTGTATTAAGTTAATGTTTGAATCGGAAGCTAACTTCAGTCCCGATTATCTGAACACCGGAACATACATTGATAGTATTGGTGGAGAGTCGGAATGTTTTTCCGGTAACACAGGAAGTGTAGTAAAGGTCGCTGCATCACATGGATCCTTCGGGCTGCAGCGGATTTCACATTCATTGAGTTAAACTCTGGCTCTCAGGGGTACGGGACCAGCACCATGCCGCTGTCGGACTTCCTGGACGGCCTGAAGGACAACCCGTACTTCGGTGCCGGGTTCGGGCTGGGGGGGTCGGCACAGCGCTGGCCGTGGCCAGAAAGGGAGCCCAGGTGGGCATGGTGTTTTTCCGAAGGAACTACATGATCACCCTGGAGGTTCCCAGCAGGGACAAGAGCTACCACTGGCTGCTGAGCTGGATCACCAAGCACGCCACCCACACGCAGCACCTGAGCGTGGAAACCTCCTACATGGCCCACGAGAGCGGACGAGTCCACACGCAGTTTGACTTCCACCCGAGTCCAGGGAACCACATCATCTGGTGAGGAAAACCTCCAGCTCCGTTCAGTTAAACTTTGTTGCGCATCTAAACTGGATTTTATGACTGCATGCTGCCTTCAGGTACACCTCGTAAATTGAACCATCTTAAATCATCGTATCATTTTAGAAACTTCGCAGCTATCTTGTTCATATAGTATGTCAATTGCACTAATTGATATAGAATCCATCCATTTCAAATACCTCACTATATTACGCACATTATATTATTTATTATAGTACATGTTATATACTCGGTGTCCCTGAATGCAAGCACGACCGTAAGAACTACTATAGAAGCGCAAAGATTTTAAAAGGTGTTTCTGAATTGTTCATTGTGTAACCACAGTGTTTTAATATGCGGTCACACAATATTTATTGACAATATTCGTGTAGTTAAATCATTTGACCTTGTTTTGTATAATCTCTATTTACCTTTAGCAAGAAACCTTCCTTATTGACCAGGGATGAAGAATAGGGTTTTGGCCAATTCTGGCCCATTTACAAAAATACTAATTACCGTGCAAATAAATGAATGAATTTCAAATAAACTCACACAACATGAGTATTGGATATGAAGAAGTGAGCTGGATGTGGTCCACCTGGTCTCCAGGTATGGCAGGAAGTGGATCCGGGTGGAGCGGACCAGGGAGAAGCAGATGGTGAATCTGCAGACCGGGACTCCGTGGGAATCCATCACCTTCACCGCTCTGGGCAGAGACCGGCAGATCTTCTTCAACATCCTGCAGGAAGGTGCACAGGAAAACTTTCAGCCTTTAACTAGGCCTGTTGAAAATGTTTATTTCACTAATCTGCCATCTATTCTGACGATTAATTGAATAAAAATTAAATGAATCGATCATACATCACTTTCAGAAAAAAAACCATAAACAAAAATGAACAAGTAAAAAAACCAAGAGCCATCATATTATATATACAATAATGCTGTAAATTATATTCAACATTTAAGTTCAAGTGTTTTGAAACTTTAATTTAAACACTTTTTCTTTCATAAAACGTAACGTTATATAAAACAAATGTATCTCTTTCTTCCTCAGTGTAAAGTCTGGACTGGTTTTAAAGGTTTGGTTAACAGAATGTTATTTATGTCATCGTCGATGTTTTGGTCATTAATAACAGCACAAACTTTAAAGATACAGTCAGAGGATCTGAAGCTGCGTCTCATGAAGTCATTCGGATCAATTTAGTTTCTTTTATTCTGGAGTCGGATCTGAACGTGTGGATGTTCTGGTGTCGTGCAGCGCGGGAGCTGGCGCTGAAGCAGGAGGAGGGACGCACCGTCATGTACACGGCTATGGGCGGCGAGTGGAGGCCCTTCGGGTTTCCCCGGCGCCGCCGGCCGCTCAGCTCCGTGGTGCTGGAGGCCGGCGTGGCCGAGCGCTTGGTGGACGACGTGAAGGATTTCATCGGGAACCCGCGCTGGTACACAGACAGAGGTGAAGGACCGGTTCTGGTGTCAGCCGGTGCCGTCCAGGTCCGGTTGCCGGTTCTGATCCCGTCTGTCTGTGTTCAGGGATTCCCTACAGGAGAGGGTACCTGCTGTTTGGGCCTCCAGGATGCGGAAAGAGCAGCTTCATGTGAGTCGTCCTGGCGCGGCGCGTGGGTCTGAGCGTGCCCGTGGTTCTGACCCGGTCCGGTTTTGTTGCAGTACGGCGCTGGCTGGCGAGTTGGGCTACAGCATCTGCCTGATGAGCCTGAGCGACCGAACGCTGTCGGACGACCGGCTCAACCACCTGCTGAGCGTGGCGCCGCAGCAGAGCATCATCCTGCTGGAGGACGTGGACGCCGCCTTCGTCAGCCGGGAGCTGCTGCCCACCGAGAGTGAGAGCCCGGCAGAACCGGGCGACCCGGCAGAACCGGCCGACCCGACAGAACTGACTGACCTGACAGAACCGGGTGACCCGGCAGAACCGGCCGACCCGACCAGAACCGGAACGCTGAGCGGTTCTCCTCCTCTCTTCCAGACCCGCTGGCCTACCAGGGAATGGGCCGCCTGACCTTCAGCGGCCTGCTGAACTCGCTGGACGGAGTCGCTTCGTCTGAGGCCAGAATCGTCTTCATGACCACCAACTTCATCGACAGGTGCAATATTGATTATTGATTAAAAACAGTCTTCATTCAAAGGAATTGTTTCTCATTGCCCAGTGTTTAAAAAAATCTAATTTTCTTAAAGTCTTGTTGACCTTTGACCCACAGTTAAAATTTCCACTTTTTGCCCCCAAACATGGAGACATGAGAAACATTTCCTTTGAATCCAGATCCAGTCCAAAACAATCCGTCTCATAATTTGTGGATTAAATGTTCTTTTATTTTTTCATTTCGCCACAAAAACTTCTTCAGACCTCAACACAACATGACAGTAAAATTTTATTTTCTGTTTATTTTCAGGATAAAACTTTTTCTAAACTATTTGCTGCAGAGGAGAGAATATCCAATGAGTTTATTACAGATCTGATTGATTTTATGCATTTATTTTTTTAAATACTTTTTAACCTTATTCATTTGAAGGACGTTACGTGTCGCTTCATACTTGATTCTTTTCAAATCTAAATATTTAGTTGTATGTAAATCTTTGTTTCTTCAGTTGACTTCTCCTGATTCTCTGAAGAAACTCAGATTACATTTTTAGACCTTTAATCCATAAATGTGCTAAATAAACGTTTGTTCAGAACCTTTTGGAAGCTTTTTATTGTGCGTCGGGTTTTGTTGTGAGGGTAACCGCCTGGCTTGCTCTCCCAGGTTGGACCCGGCGCTGATCCGGCCCGGCCGGGTCGACCTGAAGCAGTACATCGGTCACTGCACCGCCTGGCAGCTGGCCCAGATGTTCCGGCGGTTCTACCCGGACCAGCCGCCGTCGGAGGGAGATCGCTTCGCTAAGCTGGCGTTAGCCGCGCATACGGAGATCAGCGCCGCTCAGGTCCAAGGACACTTCCTGCTGCACAAAATGGATCCAGCAGGATCCATAGACAATGTGGCCCAAATACGAGGATGATGGATCAGAACCGGACTCAGACTTTATTTAACAGGAAACCTCTAGTTTATTGTTTATTAAGAACAACAATAAACCAGGAAGATGTGCAGTTTGTTTGATGTGATGATAAAAACCATTTCTTTCTGTTTCCTGACCACAACTTTCTAAATATTGGAGTATAAAAGATATTTTTGGTTATCTGGGAATGTTTCTTCCACCTGCAGTCGTCATAAAAGATTTTGTAAAAAGTTGCAGATTTTAAGATGTTTTGCTGCTTTAAATTCAAACAATGTGAATCAAAATGAAGAACAAACAGTTACTTTAATGTTCAGTGGTTTAAAAGAGTTGCACATTAAATATAATGAGTTAGGACCACTTTGTAATTTAAAGTTTCCTAAGAAAACTATAATTCCTCAGGATTAATGTGATTGAACTAAAAGCCAGTTTTCTCTTCCTAATATAATCTGAATTATTTTCACAACATTTCAACCAATTAATCCGATTCAGCTATGAAGCTAAATATCCTGAATAAATGCTGCTGGGAAACTGATCAGCATTGGCCAATCAGCATCGATGTTCGCTCCGCCATAGAAAACGCGGGAAGTCTTTGGTTGCCATGGTGATAAATTGATGATGGCGGCGGGCTGATGGGAGAAATTGAGACTGGATTCTGTTTCCTCCATGTTGCCGTTTACTGTGTTGGTTCTGGTGCTAACCGACATGCTAACGCCGTTAGCCTCAGGGTTAGCTCCTCACTGCTAATATTCATAGCTTAACTATTAGTTATAAAACGGCTTGTTTTTAGAAAATAGGATTTTTGAAAGTGAACCGTTTGAAAGGTTCGGTTCGGTTCCAAGACCCAGAATCCAAATGTTAAGAGCAGTTGAGCTCTGCAGTTGAAACGCTGTGCAGAAACAGAATGAATAAAAATAATTCTGACTTTTCTCAAAAGATTTTAGTCAGAATTTGAGATTTTTTCCTCATTAGTCATAAAGTTTGCAGAGTTTATTCTGGTCTGATTAAAAAGTGAGTTTTCTTAGAGTCATTTTGAGATGAAAGTCCAAATTCTGTCAAATCAACAAAGGAAACTTAATTCTAAGAAAAAAAATCATTCTGTGACAAAAATGTAAATTTTTAGAAAAAGATGAAAGTGAGCATTTTGTCATTGGCTCTAATCTGTATTTCCATAAGTTTTGCTCACTTCATTCTGACTTCTGATAAAGTCAGAAAAAAAAATCTGAATTCTGAGATTAAAATGAGAATTTGGAAAAATAAAAATTAGTATTTTCCTTCTAATTGGCCCTAATCCTGTTCCATGTCTCTTTACTGTTTGCTCTGTGTCATGGCGCCCCCTGCAGGTCTGGAGCCGCAGGTTGCAGCCCTCTGCCAGAGCTCTGGTTCTCGCTGTGGAAGGCTCGGTTCCGAGCGGCTCGGCTCCTCCCACTGCGTTCACTCTGAGCAGTAATGACCGCCTGGTTGTCACGGATCGCTGCGTGTGGGATCTGCAGCCTGCGGCCGCCCTGCTGCAGCACGCCGCTCTGCTGCAGCACGCTGCGGTGGGGATCCTCTGCGCTGCAGCAGAAGCTGCGGTCGGTGCAGGACCTGCCGCAGGTCAGCAGCCTGGAGATGCTGTACCGGGTTCTGGTCCAGGGCTACTTCTCCTCTCTGCACGCGCTGCAGGTCCGTCAGAACAGCTGTGGGTTAAATGTGCAGCCGTCAGTTACAATCCGTCATGTTTTCTGATTAATCTCTATTTTTGTTGTAAATGTCCAACCTGCACCTTGTTTATCTGGGTCTAACAGAAAACATGACCTTTGATCTCACAGATAACAGCTGGATTTCAGGAAAACATGGCTGCAAATCCATATTTCTTTATTAATATCACTGCTGCAGCAGTTAGAGCAGCTCTGCTTTTGATTGCGTGTTAATGCTGCGTGTAACCATGTTGTGCTGTCTGAAGGTCTATGAGAAGCAGCTCTATGGACCCATTTATAAAAACGGACGCAACGCCGTGTCGGTCAGCAGCGCCGAGCTGCTGGAGGAGCTGCTCCGGAACGACGACAAGTTTCCCACCAGAGGAGACATGACTCTGTGGACGGAGTACCGCGAGATGAGAGGCCTGGGCTACGGACCCCTCACAGAGTAAACACCGTTCACTTCCTGGTCCCTCCCCCACTGGTTGGTTATCAGACCGGTCTGGGCAGAACGGGCGGACTTAATCTGAACTTGATGGTTTCCAGTCAGAAACAAAACTGATTGCTTGAAGCACAGCTGTTGATTAAGGCCACAGTCACAGCTGATAGTCTGGCACACTCGGTTCAACTGGGGACTAAAGTTCAAACAGGTTGTTTGAACAACTTGTTCCCCTCCTCGCCTGTGGGGGCGCTGCACCAGGAACCACTGAACCAAAAACCATCATCTTTTTTGTTTTATAGAAATGTAAACAAAAATGGGAATGCCATCAAATGTTAGCGGTTGGAGGATTTCTCTCTTATCGTAACGAACCACGACTCATTTCCCCGCTAATGCTAGGCTAACACGCTTGGTTTGGTTGTATTTACCCAGAATGCCCTGTGCTGTAGTCCACTTCCTGTTTCTGGTCTGCTTGGTGTTTACATATGTGGAAAGAAACGGGCTTTAGGACCCTGATGCCCCTCAGGTAGAAATGGAAACAGGTCACTAATGAGGAACAACTGAGATTTAAAATCAATCAACTAGAAAATACATCTAAGAAATGCCAAAGTAGAGACAATAGAGGTTCAAACTGTAACGTAATGCAGGCTCAGAGAATGTGGTGTTACTGTGCAACAAAAGGATTCAACCTAAAAAGTTAAACTAAGCTGATCGATGAATCCAGAAGGAAACTTCAGACCAAACGTTTTCCTGAAAGCTGATGAAGCTTTTCTGATGGACGTTCCCTGTTTGTGCTGCCAGGGAAGGGGAGCGCTGGTACCGGCTGAGGGCGGTTCTCAACAAGCGGATGCTGCATCCCAGGGAGTCAGCTCAGTATGACGGGCTGATCAACGCCGTGGTGACAGACTTCATCAAACGGATCAAACGTCTGCGTCTCTGCAGCCCGACAGGCGACCGGGTTTCTGACGTCGCCAACAAGTTCTACCTGTTTTCACTGGAAGGTGTGTCCCATCACTGTGCATCAGTGATGAATCTCTGAGAACAGATTTATTTGAATATGTAGGTTTTCCCTCTCAGGAATTTCCTCCATACTGTTTGAGACGAGGCTCGGCTGTCTGAGAGAGGAGATTCCCGCCGGGACCCAGGAGTTCATCACTTCCATCTCCCAGATGTTTTCCAACGCCTTTCCTGTGGCGATCTTCCCAAAGTGGAGCCGCAGCCTGCTCCCCTACTGGCGGCGCTACATCGCCAGCTGGGACGGCATCTTCAGCTTTGGTGAGCTGCTGAAGCTTTACAGAAGCGAGCCAGTGGCCTGAACCAACTGGTGATTAATTTGCTCTCCTATAGGATAGATGCAAAAAGCTAAGTAGCTACCAAAAGTATAATAGAAGCTTGTTAGCTTCAGCTGCAACTGCCTCCGGTCACAAACTGCAAGGAAGATTTCTGAGCCAGACAGAAAAGTCCCAAAAGGTTAACTTGCATTTTTTAATGAACTCCAGACATTTTAAGACTTCTTAACTTTTGGTTTTCCTTCAGGTTGGTGCTACATCATCCACTGTAACCGACTGTCCTGCTTCTGCCCCATAGAGCATACCTCCATGTCTCTACTGAAGAGCACAACGTCATCTGCAAACATCATAACCCGTAGACCAGCTAAACTAGCCATCGACGCTGCTTTTGTATCTTTGATATGATCCCATCTCTTCCTGTATTGGATTTACCAAAAATGCTCAAACCTCTGTGACCAAATGGAAGATATTGCATCTTGTTTGAAGAAGTTTGCTAAGCTGAGCGGCTGTTGGAGGCAACTGCAGCAAAATGAAACTGTGGGGTCGCCTCTGTTTCATCTTACTTCTGTCGTTTAAGGTAAAACTTTGATCGACAAGAAGATGGAGGACATTCAGCAGCGCCTGGACAATGACCAGGATGTAGAGGATGAATATCTGACGTACCTCCTGTCCAATTCCCAGCTGAGCACGAAAGATATCTACGCCAGCGTGACAGAGCTGCTGTTAGCCGGAGTGGACACGGTACTCCACCCGTTTGTCTTCCGGGGTTTGGGATTCTGACTGGATTCACCTTCCAGTTAGATTCTGGCTTTTCTACACAGTGATTCAAATGTGTCTGTGTCTTTGTCTCAAAGACGTCCAACACCCTGACCTGGGCTTTGTACCAGCTGTCCAGGAACCCAGAAGTCCAGGACAGACTTTATGAGGAGGTTTCCTCTCTGGTACCGGCGGACCGGATCCCCAGCGCCGCAGAGGTCACTGCGATGCCGTTTTTACGAGCCGTGATCAAGGAAACTCTGAGGTCAGACAGCATGGAGACGCTTCAGTGTTAACTCCATGCAGCCTGTTTATAATCTTACCTTGTTTTTTACAGGATGTATCCTGTGGTTCCTATAAATTCAAGGATCATTAAAGAAAAGCCTGTTGCTGTTGGTGGATATCAGTTTCCAGAAAAAGTGGGTCTGATTTTTGTTTTGTAATACAACAAAGTAGATTTTCTCCAGATCCAGTTTTTAAGAACAATAGAAAACATTTGCTCTGTCGCTTTGCCAGACTTGTTTCACGCTCTGCCACTACGCCATCAGTCATGATGAGAACACCTTTCCAGAACCGTACCGGTTCAAGCCGGAGCGATGGCTGCGTGACGGCCGCCAGAGGCCCAACGCCTTCGGCTCCATCCCGTTTGGCTACGGCGTTCGAGGCTGCGTTGGTCGCAGGATCGCAGAACTCGAGATGTACTTGGTTCTGTTTCGGGTAGGTACAAAACCCAAACACATGCGTTCACATTGCAAACCAAACCAGAGTTCACTTCGACCGGACTGAGGTTTGTAGGAGAGTTCAGTTAGCCTTTACCTTCCAATCAAAGCAGAAATTATTTCATAAATAATTACATTGATTTCAAATTTGATTTAAAGAAGTCAAACTCATAGATTCATTACACCCAGATTGATACTATGAAAGTGTTTCCTTCCCATTAAAAACATTGGATTTCTGGATTAAAAATGCATGTATTAGTTTTATAGAATTAGATTTTCATTATCTGGACACATAATTATTAAAATAAATACTTAAAGTTTATCTGTCCATGTTTTCCTAAAATATTCTAAATTATTATGTATCTTTGGCATTTTTTCTCAGCTTATTCGAGAGTTTGAAATCAAAGCGAACCCCACTGCGGATGATCTAGAGATCGTCAGTCGGGCCGTTTTGGTGCCAAACAAGCAACTGGACCTGCTCTTTGTGGACCGACGATGAAGGAACAGTTTGATTAACAGTTTAGCTAAATGGCCCAAAAGTTCTGCTTCTGTTTGTTTTAATGTGAAATCTTCTGTTATTGACAGTTAGCCTTTAGCTAGTTAGCTAGAGGCTAACTCATTAGCCAACCATAATGTGTGCAATCACAGCAATAATGTATTTAGGTCTGGATGATAAACTTACATGCATTTCCACACTTTCATTATTAATAGGGAGAAAAACTATGGAAGCACTTTCTGTATGCTAACATCAAAGCTAACAGCTGCTAACAGCTGCTACAGCTGCTAACAGCTGCTACAGCTGCTAACAGCTGCTACAGCTGCTAACAGCTGCTAACAGCTGCTTCCTTTTCCTGGAGCGTTTACATTCATGGTGTTGATGTGCAGAAACAATCTGTGAGTTTTTTTGTTTTGTTTTGCTAAATTGTAATGTTTTTAGTTTAGTGTGTATAATTTATACACAGGGTTTCTAAAGCTGATGTCATTTGGCCAAAAGTGACAAGTAAAATAAAGATATATTTGTAAAATAGAATTTTTAAAAAAGATCATTTTGGTTCAACAACAAGCTAAACATACAATATTTTAATTAAACAAATAGTCTGTTCTATTGTTGGAAAGCATTTGTATAAATCATGGCAGATTGAAAACTTAAAAAAGGAATATTTCAGGTTTGCCTCATTAAAAGAAAGATTCTTCTGAACCGGTTGGAAAAAGCAGATCTGAGTGAACCGAAGTCTGAGCTGCACTGAAAGTCTCTGGTTCTGTTTACTGTGAAACTTAGAGAGAATACAAAAAGATGAACTCTTTATTGTACTGAATACATTGCATTGTGAAAAGATTTAAATTGATTGAATAATTTTTATTTACTTTACAATTGCAGTTCTTCATTCTGGGGTTTATGTCTGTATGCGACTGCAGGTGTGAATATCTGATTACATGTTTGTCATAAACACTAATTGTGTTCAATTAATTTGCTTTGATCATGTAATTAGTAATATAGTTTTTTTTTCTGTGGTATAATCTATATTGTGTTCAGTTTTATTTTCTTGTTATACAAATTTAAGAGATAATTGTCACAGATTTTATAAATATAAAATAATTAAATTATAACATTATTATCTAAAAATATTTGTTTCCTCTTTTCTGTTGCTGAAGCCATCCATCCATCCATCCATCCATCCATCCATCCATCCATCCACCATCCATCCATCCATCCATCCATCCATCCATCCATCCATCCATCCATCCATCCATCCATCCATCCATCCATCCATCCATCCATCCATCCATCCATCCATCCATCCATCCATAACAAATCTTTCTCAGATCTGAACGCTAATAGAAACACGGCTAGTGCACTGTGAAGGTCACCAAGAGGTCATCCTGAGCCTAAATGACCAACAGGTGTGCAGGCGCCAACAGACTCCCACAAACAGGCCAGCACAGATCCTCTGAGCAGGCAGATGACTCACTCACACTGCAGGACTGGTGCAGTTCCTTGAAGACATAACTCTGAAAAATTCCAACATAAGAGCTTCCGAGTTCAGGAAAGTTCAGGTTGTGTAAACAGTGGGACGTTCTGCTGTGAGCAGCTGGTGTTTCAGGCTCAGCCCAGAGGTTTGTAATCCAGAGCGAGGAGGCTGTTCCCTTAAAAGGGAAACCAAGCTTCATGTTGGGAGCAGATCGGCTTATTAAGACGTTTCACAACAACGGAGAGATTACATAACTCAAAAGGCTTTAAACCAGAGAAACCAGAGAAAACTCAACATTTCCTCAGACTCCTTCCTTTGTGGTTTGTGTCTTCAGATCTGGACGGGTTAAGTCGCGCTCTGGCCCGGCTCCTCCCTGCCGCAGCAGCTTGGATGTAACGGGATCCGTGTGTTTTCCACTCGCCTCCTGCCATGGCTGCGTGGCTGTCGAGCCGAGCGCTGTCAGGGAGGCCCGGCGGTCTGCTGCCATGGAGCCGGGTCTGCTGCCGGGAGCGGTGCCGGACCGCTCCCTCCGTCCTGCCCGCCCTGCAGGACAAGCCTCGGACCGCCTCGGACCTGCCCCGGGTCAGCTTCTGGGAGATGCTCTACAGGATGCTGGTCCAGGGCTACTACAACCGTCTGCATGAGCTGCAGGTACCTGACCGCTCTGCAGCCCAAGCTGCTTCCACATCCTGGTGCTGACAACTGGTTCTGTTGGCGTTAGATATGTTGCATGACCCAAACAAGGCCAGGTTTGGGTCATACATTTGTTTTTCATGACCGAAGCAGACAATGCTTTGTCTCTCCAACAGAAACAAAGCATTACCTTTGTTTCTGTTGGAGAGGCGCTGATCCGATTGGTAATGACGACACTACTAGATGATCGGACAATCAGAACGGTGATGTCTGAAGGGTGCGGAACGTTCCTGGAGATTTCTTCATGCAGAAGCTCAGTGTGGAGAAACATTGGTTGCAGTTTATTTTTCATGTTTTCGTTGTAGTTTATTTTACATCATTATATGACTCATCGAACTGACTGAACACATTCAAGTTGTTTTTACGTTTTTACAAACTTTGAAGCTGTTGGTGTCTTTAGCCAGTACATGAAACTATCTGGAAAAAAAGAAACGTTTTAAATCAATTCAGGTACTAAACCTCAGATATCAGGATCAGAAGGGAAAACAGGTGTAGCTAAATGAGCTAAACGAGGGCGAACCTGGTTCACCTGAGGTCAGGTTCCAGGTTTTCATCAGGATTCTGGTCGGGTCTGGTCGGGTCTGATCGGGTTTCCTTCTTGTTCTCTCCCTCTCAGCTGTACGAGAAGCAGCTGTATGGACCCATCTACCGGAGCGGGCTGAAGTCGGTGTCGGTGAACACGGCCGAGCTGCTGGAGGAGCTGCTGAGGAAGGACGAGAAGTTTCCGTCCAGAGGAGACATGTCTCTGTGGACGGAGTACCGAGACATGAGGGGGTTCGGATACGGACCCTTCACAGAGTAAACCCATAAAAAACAAACTCAACTGGTTAGGTCATGAGCTGAAAGAGGCTCAATAGAAAGAATCTTGCAACAATTTTTCTTACAAACTCTAAAAAAAGAAAAAAAATCAGACAAACTGGACGCAACAACATTTTTATTATTTAAAGAACTTGAAGCTTTTTGCTGCCACATCGATCACAGATAACTGGACATCAGGTGGTGGAAGTAAGAAATACTGCCACCTGCAGGTCAGAGCTGGTAACAACACAATGTTTTTGACAAACATTCACAGAAATGACAAAAATGTTTTTGAGAAAATGTACAATTATCTCAAGTGATTCAGTCTGTCAAAGAAAAGATGGACAGCACCGTTTCAGGCCGACACCAGCCAGGATCTTCTCTTAAATCGCGTTTAGTCGACATTATCACCACCTGCAGGCAAAGCACAATTACTGCGTTCTTGATTTTAGTCTGTGTAAACCTGATTTTTATTTTTAAAACACATTTAAAAAATAGCGACTCAGAACTTCCTATCGCTGGTTGCCATGGTTATTCCCGCCATTTCCTGGACGCAGGGTGAAGAGGAAAACCCTGAAAATGACATTTAGTGTTAATATCATGAACTGTGGAAATATTAATGTATCTACATGTATTTAAATGTAAAACTCATGTCTCAGTATTTCCACACTGAAAGAAAAATATGTTGGATGTTTTTGTGCCGTTTCCTTCATTGGTTCTTGGTGCAGCGCCCCCACAGGTGTGGAGGGGAACAGGTTGCTCAGCTGAAAATGAAACAAATGTTGCAACTTTGGTCCCCAATGGAACAAGTTTATCACAGTGTCAGGTGTGAAAACACTAAACACTGGCAGTTCAGTAAAAACTGTAAATTCTGTTTAAATTTCTGTTTAATCAAATAAGAATTAAACTGCATTTTTTAATCTTTTCGTCTGAGCAGTCCAGGCTTTGAATGCTGTTTCTGCTGTAAATGTATCTGAGCTGCAGAGCTCCGCAGGGCGCTATGTTTGCACCACTTTCACCAAAATATCCTTTTAGTGCATAGAAAAACATTTCATATATTTTGACTTGCAAACCTAAAGATCGAGATATGCATCAAAAACACAATTCAGCATCACCAACAGACTTTTGTCTTGATATTAATTTTCTCTCCATTTGTAGAAAATGTGACGGATGTTTGTGCTGCCAGGGAAGGGGAGCGCTGGTACCGGCTGAGGGCGGTTCTCAACAAGCGGATGCTGCATCCCAGGGATTCAGCTCAGTATGACGGGGTGATCAACGCCGTGGTGACAGACTTCACCAAACGGATCAAACGTCTGCGTCTCTGCAGCCCAACAGGCGACCGGGTTCCTGACGTTTCCAATGAGCTGTATCTGTTTTCTCTGGAAGGTATGCAGCAAACATCATTCCCAAGAATCAGTACTCTGACAAATGGTTTTTAATTTTGCGTTTGATTGTCATTGTCATCCAGGAATCGCCTCCATACTGTTTGAGACTCGACTCGGCTGCCTGGAAGAGGAAATTCCTGCCGGAACCCAAGAATTCATAAACTCCATCGCCCAGATGTTCTCCAACAGCATGGCTGTGGTGATATCGCCCAAGTGGAGCCGCAGCCTGCTGCCGTTCTGGAGGCGCTACGTCGCCGGCTGGGAGGGCATCTTCAGCTTCGGTGAGTTAGAGAAAACAACGATGAGCATCGCAAGCTGCTGGTGCCACAAATCACCACGTTTTGCTGCCATGTGTCTGATACAAGAGACGGAGTTTATAAGTCAGGAAGCTCTACGATATCGCACTGCTTTCTTATTGCCAGAGAAAAACTGCGTTTATTCAGGCCACTAAACCTTAAACTCTACATTGAACACAAACAGCAGCTTCAGTTAGTTGAATAAACAGTTTTTTGGGGGGTTTGTTCTGCAGATGGTGAAAAACAGCCTTCAGATGGGATTTGGTGGTATTTTATGGAATCCTGACTTGCTTGATTTTTTTTCACAAAATGTGAAGTAAAGGTGACAACTTGTGGCACTTTTGGGTTGCCGTAGGCGAGGATGAGCTTGATGCTCCAGAAACAACCTGAGCGAGACGCAGACGCTCAGCTGAGGGTTTTTAACCAGGAAATGATTGGAAACCATAAAAAGAGAATCATGATCAAACAAAACTAACAATAAGAGATCGATCAATACTGAGCTTCATTTGCTCTCCTGTAGCTAAAACTTTGATCGACAAGAAGATGGAGGACATTCAGCAGCGCCTGGACAACAACCAGGATGTGGAGGGAGAATATCTGACGTACCTCCTGTCCAACACCCAGATGAGCAGTAAGGACGTCTACGCCAGCGTGACGGAGCTGCTGTTAGCCGGCGTGGACACGGTACGCAACACTGAACAAGTCAACATCCTCCTTAGTTCAAGTATTTCTATGTACCGGACGCCTAAAGCTTTTTCCAGGAACATTTTGGTGTTTATCAACTTTGTTGGTATTAATTTTAAAGCTACTTTCTGGTTGCATGTCTGTGTCTTTGTCTCAAAGACGTCCAACACCCTGACCTGGGCTTTGTACCAGCTGTCCAGGAACCCAGAAGTCCAGGACAGACTTTATGAGGAGGTTTCCTCTCTGGTACCGGCGGACCAGATCCCCAGCGCCGCAGAGGTCACTGCGATGCCGTTTTTACGAGCCGTGATCAAGGAAACTCTGAGGTCAGACAGCATGGAGACGCTTCAGTGTTTCTGACAAGAATCACTGTAATAACCACAAACTGTTAACAATCTGCTGACTGATCCCCAACAGGATGTACCCTGTGGTTCCCATGAACGCACGGATCATAACAGAAAAACCCATTTCTGTTGGCGGATATCAGTTTCCAAAGAACGTGGGTCCGATTCTTTTTTATATCGCAGTGTCGTATATTTACAGGCATCACTCGTGATGAGAAACATTATAATTAAAGGTTTTTGGCTTCACAAACAACTGATCTTTAATTTATAATTTAAATGTTTTAAGTCTTTCGTGACCAGAATCAAACTAATCAACATGTGAATCTGGTT